TGGCCCGGTCCGATCTTAGGCTCTTGAGAACTTACCGGAACTGCATTAAGCGTTTTGATTGAAGCATTTGATATTGATTGATGGGTTGGGCTAACTGGGAATTGGCAAGCAAAAATGTTCCCATGGATTGATGAGAACACGCTTTGGATTTTGTTTTATATTTTTTTGCATTTTTAAAAATGATTCATCTATCAAATTTATACTCTATTTGAAAGTAAAAAAATATATATTATTGTTCACATTTTTATTTTATTTCTGCTTCTTTGGCAAGACCATTGCAAATCGTGTGAATTGGCTTTTTCTTCATGAACAGATACAGATACAGATAGTCTCGTAAATACAAGACATAAACAATAATTTGTAGCACAAGCTTAGTTTTATTGCAGCCTGTACATAGACTTGAGTTTATATACTTTATATAGTATATATAGAAAATTAACCCAGTTCGCACGTCTATGCCGAAACAAAACAAAAGTCGTCGAGGCAAACGAGTCGCACTCGCAGGCAACAAAAGACAAGAAAACGAGGAAAGTCGTCTACTCACCTCAACAAATTTGATGGAAAAGCAAGAGGGGTAAGGTGAGTGGGTGGGGGTGGGTGGCAGGAGGTCGAGAGAGGTAGTTTCTGGTAGTAGTAGAAGGGGGTTTCGGCCGGTATCGCCTGTCTGATAATCATGTCGCTGGCTAATTGCAGCAGGCGGTCGTGGCAAATTGTGCAAATATTATTTCAAGACAGTTACAAATGCCGGTTCGCAGTCGTTCGCACTCGCTTGGTAGGCATATCTATGCTCAAACCTATTCACATTCTCATTCCCATTTGTATTCACTTTCCCTCGGTGTTTTTTTTTTCGTTTTTCAAGAGTGCTTGATAAGCTGAGAACGTAATTATGTGATGATATACTGCTTTCATAGGTGGGTGCACTAGGGAAAAAGTAGGCTTGCTTACTTAAGTTTTTGAAATATGTAAGGAAATGTATTTTTAAATTTTAGATAATAGAATTAAAGGGGGAATTCTGCTTAGCCTTTTTCTGTATACTTTTTTCAATTCATTAAATATACAAATGGGTTCTAAGTACAAAAAAGATCTTAAGATCTCAAAAAGAACTTGCCACAAAAAAGACTCAAGACAGAAACATAATAGTTCTTTATCCTTTTCATAGCAATATCTATTTTGTATAATTCCTTATGCCTTTATACCTTACAATCTAACCATTTTTTTCCCCTGTGTATTACTCATATTCATAATTCTGCCTTTTGCTGTAAGGCTCTTGTCTCGAATTTGGGTCAAACATGCATACTCATTGGCGTCCCCTGGCATCTCCTTTATCACATGCAAATCCCCTTTTACCTGTTACCCCTTTTTGGCCTATCTTGGCTGGCAAAACAGAAACTGGAAAATCTAAAATTGTATAACCTGCTCTCGACCGACCAGGCGGCCAGGCGACCAATCGACCGACAGAGCAAACCGACCGGCAATGTGGCGATTTCCTTCAACCCACTGGCCTGTGGGCCAGGTTTTCGGACTTGGTCTACACGGTCAGCGTATGGTCTCGTGTATCTTTGTATCTGCGGCCATAAATTTCAGCCACTTTGATCTTGCCACATTGAATGTAAAGTGCTTAATGGGCCCAGCAAGTTGACCAAACTGAGCCGATCTGGGCAAACAACAAAAATAGGGAAACACACACATGCCGCACACCACACACTGCGGAGAACAAGAAGCAAAAACTTTAATCTTTTTGTTCAGCATAAAATTGCATTGTAATTTACAAAAATATTTTCAGTTCTCATTGTCTCTGATCTGCTTGCTTTGCTGGGTTTTTAGTTTGTTTTTGTTTTTTAGGCTCTCTGGTCTCCCTAGAGATTTTAATCGTTGTCGCCAGCGTCGCCTTGTCAACTTGGTTAGGTCGGTTTGGTGAAACCCGCTCCACACTTCTCCAGCTACAGCTACAGCTCCAACTCTAGCTCCAGCTCCTAGAAAAAAATAAAAAGTTTCGAACGTTTTATGCTGCTTTACATTGGCGTCGCATTTTTTGCTGCTGTGATGTTGCTATTGCTGCCAACATTGATCACGACTGACCAGATAGGTGCACTTAAAAAAAATATAGAATAATTCTAGAGAAGATAAAATTTATAAGACTATTTGAGTTAAAAAAGTGTTTAAATCTTCTCATCTTAAGATATATTTTTTGAGTATCTCTAGTTCCTACTTTTATAATTTTTTTTTGTCTGCATCCAAAAGTGACCAAGAGCTACCTGTATGCCTAGCCTGCCGATTGTCGTTTGCTCCTCTATATATACACATATATCTCTATATATATACCCATTTATACACGGCATTCTTTCTATGGAAACAATTGCATAAAATGTGAATCCTGATAGCGACAGAAAACAGAAAAAAAGCCAAAGCCACCGGCCAAAGCCAGCGACTAGGAAATGGTCAAGTCAAGTGGGTTGGGCACAAAAAATAAATACAAAAAAAGTAAAAATAAAACAGTAGGAGATCGAAGAGTCTCTGTAGAGACGGTCTCCAGGCTACAAAAGGAGAAGGAGAAGATTTCCAGACAAGGAGTTTATGATTCCTCCAGATGCTTATAAGACAATGGGTAGTTATAATATAGGAGGAAGTTGCTTTCTAAGATTTTCAATAAATTTAACAAACAAAAGGAGGCATTTTGTTAAAGAAAACTAGCCATTTTAAATCATTTTTTGTATAGACATTTATCTAATCATCCTATAATCTTTTAATTAACTCGTTAATCCAAGTTTAATAGACTGGTAATTTTCTCATTATAATGCTTAACTAATTGTAATGATTATAAATAGGTAGTTAGTAATTAAAACCTAACAAGTCTTTGTGTAAATTTATATACCTTTTTAAGTCCATATTTCCAATGATTAGATTATTGTTTAATTTCTTTTGTAAAGCCATATTTCCTGCTAATTTTTATGCCACAATAAACCACAGTTCCTTGCACTTCAGTGACCACTCCTCCACTGGTACATAGTACCACCCTTAAAAAATGCATTAAAACAATTTACACCTCATCGGACAATCCTCCTCCTGGTCGATTAGTGTCGCCTGAATCACCTAAAAGTTTTCAAAGAAAAACAATTTGAAACCGAGCCCCAAAAAAGGCCAAAACATGAGCAGTAGCCGGTGGGAACCAGGCAGTACAGTAAATCCTCTGGCTTGGAGGTCAGGCAAAAGGTTAAACTGACAAGATTGACAGGCAACAAATTCCAAATGGCGTCGACAGAGCTCCAAGTTGGGCCCGGACAAGGTAAGGGGGCGTGTCGGGGTCCCTTTTGTTGGCAAAAACCAAAAAAAAAAGGCCAAAATGGAACTTTGGCAACTGTCTTATAATTGCCGCATTGCATGTTCCAAGTTTCAACTTTGATATTAGAGGGTTTTTTAGACCAAGGGGAGTTACTATTCCCCAACTATACTAGTCTCTTTTATTTATTTTTTTGTTTCGTTGAGAATCGGCGGATTGGAAACAGGCGCACCCTCATTCTTAGGCGCATTCTTATTTATTTATACTGGTTTTTTTATGCAAAGTGGATGAAGGAAAAAAGCTAAAGTAATGTATAGTGTGGATATATCTCCCCTTTGGCATATTACAATCTGCTTTAGTTTTCCCACCTCAATGCACATTCCGAATCGGGAAAAGGGGCACTATACCCGCCCTTTGTTCCCAGTTGTGTTCTCTTGGCTAATTGCATGGGAAAATTCACAAGATGGGACTCGATTATGAAGATGGTTTCTGATGGCCAGAAGTCGTTTAATGTACTCCCCTATATTATATAGAATTTTGTAATTATTATTTTAATAATAGGGCATCTCTTATTATTATGAGCAATTTGTCTTAAATTGATTTTTATTTTAGTTCCCTTTAGTGCCTGTCTAAGTTTAGTTTCAATGATTACTCGTCAGTTGCCTTTTTACTCTTGTAAGTAGTGTATTTTCATCTACCACTTAGCCACTCTTGACTTCAACCTCTTCCATAATTTTCCCATTAATTATGTCTCTCAACCTTCAACGCCTGCAACTGCAAAGTGCCACTGCAACTGCCACATTGCAGCTGCAATTCTGCGGCAAATGATGTAAGGGCCCAGAGGCAGGCAAGGAAAAAAAGAGCGCTGGAAGCATTTAACTGACATTTGTTGTCAACCTCTTCAGTTTCAGTCGCAGTCAGAGCCTAGAGGTGGAAATGCCACTCGGCAACTGGCTGTCACAATGTTTTATCATTTAATTTCCACAAATAAAAATAAATCCATGTGAACACACTGGCGACGGTGCTCCAAACCCAGCCGACAGTGTGGGCGGTAATCCCACGTTCAAAATTTGATTCGGATTCGGATTCAGATCGAGATCGAGATCGAGAGTTAGGTTCAGTGGCTCTTGCTCTAAAAATAACGCAACCGGCGACAGCCGGCAGCGAATTATTATTTAATGGCTTGGCTTCTTCAGTTTAGTTTTTTTTTTTGGATGCTTTAACACCTTGTTGTATCTTGTATCTTGTTTGGTTTGGGGATGTGTAACTTTTGTATCTTTTTCGGCAAGTGTTTTCGCCAACGCCAAAGTGAAAGTGACACAGCTGACATTGCACATTGGATGTTTGGATGTTTGGTTGTTCGGATGTTGTTTGTTGCTATTATTATTGTTGCACCTGAACCCAACAACTTCCCAAACTACAATAACAAGAAAAATTAGTGTTTCTACTTGTTGCTGGTTTTCTGCAACAAGTCTCCCCGTCAACTTCAGGCCCCAAACTCCAATTAGAGTGTCAGTTTAATGAACTGCCTGAGCAGCGTGTCTATTCGCGGAAAATAAAAATAATATTCAGACCCTACCACTTCAGGGGGTTAACTGCATTACACGTTGCAATTTTTCAAGTGCCGGCCTTAACCTTTGACCCGCCATACCGGCATAGCTTGCCATTTTTCCTTTCATCGCATAATTATTGTATTTATTAATAAATATATTCACGATTGCAGATTATCGGCGAATTGGCGCAAATCGTCTACACAGCTTTGGATTACAATTTGCCAGAAGACGAGGAGTGTCAGATGTCCCAGGAGCTGGAGAGTCTCTTCAACTTTATGACGGCAGATGGTGAGTTGGGGGCGGTATTTTAAAGCCTTAATAATAGTTGTTAAATAGAAACCTTTGGGTAGTTATTCACGTTTATGTAGGAGATATCGAATGGGATTTCTACAAAGACTTTCTCAGTCTTTTATTATATTTGAAAGTTTAATATTTCCAAAGCCACAAATATTCCTAAATAATCTTTAATTTGCGTCATTTCAATGGGGACTTTACGAAAATCACCCTTTTCTGAGAGAAACCCCGGCTTTATAATCTTGAATCCCCACAAAATAACCTCAAGGTTAGCTCATGAATCATCTAGAACTTTTTCTGATAAATAAAATGTTATAAAAATTTATTTTGCACATGTAAAGCCCTCAAGTTCACATTTTTAAAAGATTAAGCAACTATTTTGATTCATTCCAGAAACCGACGATGATTGCATCGACGAGGGCATCGACGAAGGCGATAAACGCTGGGACGACGATACCGAGGAGGAGCGCAACGACACCAAAGAACTAGAGCACATTATCGAGGTGGGTCTCCAATTCCAATTGAATCTCTATCTATTTGCCAAATCGAGTGCCAAAAAAACGAAACCATAGTATGCAAATTACAGCTTTGATCGCGAAGCTCGATGAGTCAGATTTTTGGAGGTGCGCCGAGTTGTGACCTTTTGACCAGACTTCAGTCTGCTCCAATTGACATACTCGCAGATACTTTGTATATAAATATATATAGAGCACAGTATATAAAATAAGAAAAGAGGGGGGAAAATACAGAGATCGATATTGATCGGTGGGAAAACTTGTTTGGCGCACGTTACAGTTAACCAATGCTCGCAGAAATAAATGTATCTGGCGGATACTTGTTGTGTTGCTCGCGTATCTGTATCGCGGCTAACCGCAAAACAAGCCAGCTACAGCTCCAGTCCGGGTTCTACTTAGATTACGATTGCCGACCGACTGGAAAACAATTTCAATACAGATTGCACTGTCAGAGCTATGATATTAAATAACCGAAATAACCATAAAACCAAACGCAAGATCTCGCGTAATCGTAGGAAATCAGCTAGAGATCTGTAAATCAGAAATCTGAATCTTCATAGTTAACTGCGCACCAGGAATTTTCCGCATTTTCCCGGGAGCAAGTGCATCCCATCTGCCAGATTTGGCATTGGGGCGTGTGATGAACCTCACACCCGGTTGCTGATTGGTGTCTTCGACATTGGCTTCAGCTGCAGCTTCGGCTTTGTTTGATTTGGTTGACTTGGCTAATGAGCCACTTTATGCAATTGACACATTGCTGTCAGGCAACAGTGAGCACCGAATACAGAAGACAGGCAAACAGCCAGACGACAGACATTTTCCACTTGCCTGACTTTTCTGGCACATCCATCCAGCACGAAAAGTGGAAAAATATCTGCAACCAATACGGATAAATTTGCATTTTTCATTATTTGAGTGTGGCTGGCAGGCGGCGGGTAATGGGTCAACGGTTAGATAAGATTTGTTTTGGCGGAATAAATTACCTTGGTCTCCATCCGAGATATGATTATCGTAATGGGAAGTGAAAGGAAATGGCCGAAAGGCATAGACACAATTAGTTTTGACCACATAGAATTCTTCTATGCGGGATATCTGCAGAAAATTATGATGGCTTGAAGGTATTCCTAGAATTTGACACACAAAAGAATCTAAAAACTCTGAAGATATTTGGCGTTCTTTCCTTTTTTGCACTCAATATTATGCCAACTCTTATTGACTTTAAACTAATTCTATTTATAATCTTTATAGACCTGCAGAAACCACATAAAACCCACCTTGCCCGAGAACCACTACCGAGCCGTGTGCAGAGCCCTCGTCACAGAGACCATTGAGCTCCGTGTGTTCCTGCAGCAAGTTCTAAACAATGGTAAGTGTGCGTAGATTACCAGCTAATTCATCAATCAGCCTCTAACCGGAATATTAATTATACTCCAATCTCCATGCAGCAGGTGCCGAGAAGCTAATAAAGGCGGCTGAATCGTCGGCGACCACGCAACAAGAACTGGCGAAGCTGGGCTTCAACGACTGGGTAAGATTCATTCTCCTTCTCGAACCATTGTCTCTATGATTTGTTATGTAATATTAGGTTACATACATGTGCTCCACTAATGGGCCGATGAAGTGGCCGACAGTGGCTGACGACTCACGACTTTTGCTTGGCGCACCTCTTCGAGGCGCGTTTTTGGCCAAAAAGCCATAAGCCATCATCATAATAATCATTATCGCAAAGATCACGAGCATTTCTGGTGGGTTTTCCGCTGCCAAAAAACACAAAAGCAACAAAAAAGTGTACTATTTCATGCATTGCCAAATGAAATTCACTTTTAATTTCAATAATTGGCCCGCGGTGGTCGCCTCCATTTTGGCCATCATCCTAATGAGTTCAACGCCGCTCTATATACCATATTTTCTGTTAGCTATTTTAATGGGTGCATATATCATCTATACTTCGGCGGCGGTGACCTTTGGCGAATATGTCGAGGCCGTCACAGGAGTTTGCCATCAACACCTTGCCCCGATATACAGCACAGTATCGTCGTCGTCATCCAACCTCCGAAACTCATTGAGACACACACGCAAATTGGCCAAACACGCAAGCCACCAACAAAAAATTGGCTCAGAGTTTGATTTTTTTTGCTAAAAGTGGCGTGAAAACTTGGAGTTGGCTTTTTACCGTTCGGGGTGTGTTTTGGGTTATTCGATTCAGATTCAGATTTAGATCGAAACCTGAAACTGTCAAAGAACAGTTGGCCAAGTTTGTTCTGAAATTTTGATGGAATTTTTGCATTTCTTCCTAACAAGAAAATTTCAGTTTAAAAGATATTTTTTCCTTAAACTAATAAAGTGCTAATGATTTTAATTCAATCAACTCTTTCTTTGTCTTGACAGGTTTAAGTCTTGCCTTTGTTTTAAAAAAGTATTCTTCAAAACAAGTTCTTTTAAGACCTGATACAAGACCCGATTGATATTTTCAATTAAGGACTTCAATTCTAGATCATTTTGTATTATTTTTAGAAAATCATTTTCTTCTTGGGCTTGGCTCTCTCTGACAATCTTTGCATGTCTGATAGCTGGAAAAACAAAAGGCAAATAAGAAACCCTTGCGTGCGACACATCAAATGCCATAATGTTGACTTATTTCCCCGGGAATGGGGTACTACATGCACTATCTGATGGCGTCTTCACGCCATATTCGTTATTAAATAGACCATACCCATATAATTTTATTTTTTTGCCATACATTCAGATGTTGCTGAAAGCTGAAATCCAGGCCTTAGGCCAAAGGGGTGCAGCCCTTGTATTGGCCAATTAATTGGCCAAACAGGTGAACCACCAATCTTGCCGGTTTCCAACTCAACAATCGCATATACCATATAGACTTTAAAGTATATTTATTCTGGGACTGTTTAGCTTGGTATTGTGAAACGTAATTTGAGGCAATTGTAGAGTCTTGATTAAATGGGTTCTTATCATTTTCCACCTCTTCGATAAGAGTTCTCTATTTTTGCTTTCTGTCTATTGTCTATAGGGGTTTTTTTTCTGGGTTGCTTGTCTTTGGGGCTACTGCTCTTTGGATATGGGGTTCCAGAAGTGTGTCTTTAGTCAGCATTTTATGGTGCTTCTTGGGAAGCCAACAGCCTTCAGAATGTCACACAGCAAACTGATTGTTAAAACACTTTTTCATATGGTTTTTCGCCAAGTTTACATTGTGTTTTTGTTGCTTGTTTTTAAATGCTGGAATTGCGGAAATTCTAAAGCGTGTTATTTAGTTTTTTTTTCGTTTTTTTTTTGTTTAGTGGGAACGGTTTTCTCTGAAAAGTTAGTTGGAGTTGGGAAATAAAATTGCCAGACATGGAGTCGTTGTTTCGGTTAGCTTCCTCTTATGGTGAAGATTTTAAATGCCAAATTCATCAATATACGAAGATACTTAATCTTGTAAGCATGTGTTTTGGAAAAAAGCATAGAATGTACTTCGAAAAATATGATTAAAAGGAAAAATACAGAAAATGCTGTTCTCCATAATTATTTTCTACCTAAACCCTAAGATTTTATTGGACCACGTTGTAAATTCGTATATCCCTACATTTTTTTTGAGTGCATTTTCAAACTCCTCCGGAAGCTGCTGCCACTCATAGGTGGGCTGATGTTGCTGTTGTTCGAGTAATTGAAGCGTGGCGCGGCATCTTCAGCGTTTTCCCTCCTCCAGCGTTGCATATGTAAAGTATGTTGCCGATTTTGAAACGATTGTGTCAAAACATGTGCTGCCATTGATGCCTTCAGCTTCGGCTGTGGCTGTGGCTGTAATCGGACCCTATACAATACCAGATCCTAATGCCACAAGCAGCGCCGTTTTGCATGTTTAATGAGGTGACTCAAAATGCATGGCCAGCCGGCAATTGGGTTTGCCGACTGACTGCTGACAGGAACAGGAAAAGCGAATGCCGCTGAGGAAAGTGAAATTGCGGATCACTGTTACACACGATGGATATAATGGAATATGATGGATGCCCCCATCCCCATTTCCATCGCCATCCGTACTCCATTGTGTGCTAAATAGTCTTCCTGTTATCGTACATACACTCACATTACTCATACGCACAGTTAACTTGTCATGTGGCAAGTGGCAAGTGGCATGTCTCGCATTAATCAGCCAATGGATTGGATTGGCTTGGTCCATTGCGGCACTTGTTGCCGCAGCGGGAGTCTAAAAATTATTTGCTAATTAAATGAAAATAATTGCAAAAGTGAAATGCCACCTGGTGTAACTCAAAACTCCCCTTTCCTTTTTTTTTTTTGTATTTTTTGCTTTTTCAAGCACGAACTGCTGCTGTGGAGGTCCCTGCAAGTAGGTTTGGCATGTTTGTTAGGTTCTGCATGTTCTTTGTTTGTTCTGTTTTCTGTCCCCTTTGCGGATTTTGTTTGAAAGTTGGTTTGATATTAAACTGACCACACCTCTTCACTTTTACAGGCACGCTTCTGGGTGCAGGTGATCGACGAACTGCGGCGCGGTGTTCGCCTGAAGAAGAGCAACTACGAACGCACACCCATCGAGTACGAGCTGACGCCCTATGAGATACTCATGGGGGACATTCGAGCCAAGTGAGTATATTTATATTTTCTACACTATAACAGGAACAAGCCTTCAATGTCATGCCACTTTTGGGAGGTGAATCATGGCCTAATGTTTGATGGCAGTTACTTAGTTTTACAACTAAATTATCCACTATCTGTAACCGATAGTAAAAAAAAAAAGAACAATAGCCAATCCACGACGGAATTAAAAGAAATTTTCTTTATTATTTTCTTCTTTATTTTCAGAAAGTATCAGTTGCGCAAAGTGATGGTGAATGGAGATATACCGCCGCGTGTCAAGAAAGATGCCCATGCCATGATCTTGGAGTTCATCAGGTCGCGGCCTCCGCTCAGGAAGGTGTGTACCACTAAAGCCACCAATCAGAACCTCATTCCCAATCCCAATCCCACTGCCACATCATATTCCAAATCATGTAACTGCAACCAGTCAAGTACTATCGTCCAAATCACAATCAAGACCAACTGCCAACCACGGAATCCATCAAAATCCCCCTATGCCGCTTGCAGAGCGTGAATTTTTTACCCAGCGACTTTCCTTCGACAAACCCTATGATTTGACTTGACCTCACGTTATTTTTTTTGTAACGAATCCATCAAATTGTTTCTTGTTTTGAAATAAAAATTACTAGTTTCACTTGCAAACATCTAAACAAAATTATGTTTCCTTAAAGGCTTCTGAGCGGCAGTTAGGACCGCCGCGGATGTGCGAACCCTCGCCCCGAGAACAACTAATGGAATCCATCCGGAAGGGCAAGGAACTGAAGCAGATCACCCCACCGGAAGCTCCCACCCTAAGAGAGAGATGTAACTACGAAGCTCTACATTGTCTCTTAAAAAAAAAATCTTTGCGTAAGTAATGGCTACTTACACTCTATGATACTCTTACTTGACTAGTTTTCCACAAATAACAATGCAAAGCCCATTGTCGAAAGGTAACTTGTAGATTTTGCACAGTGCCTGCCAAAAATAGATGCCGCCTCTAATCTTTTGCGGGTGTCCGCTTGGGCCATCCATCGTTTTTTTTTTGGATTTGGTCTTGGTCTTTGGGTTTCTTGTGTGTGTTGTCATCGTCGATTCAAAATTTTAAACGCCAGCCGCCCATAAATTGTGGCCATATGCGCCTATATAGACAGCCGATGTCGGGGGCGGGGGTGGTACTTGGGGGAAAACTTGTTACTCGGCCAAGACTTTTCACTGCACTTGTCGCTATTGTCCGGCTGTCCCTGTCTCTCTCCTAGTTTTCATCTCTTTTCTCCTCTGGCTTGACGGGTGTGTTTGTTTGTTCGTGTTTGCTGCATTGTTTGTTTGTTTGTTGGTTTGTGTGTGTGTGTTTGCCGGGTGCAGCGCGCATGCCAGCATAGATCAAAAAAGAGGAAAAAATTTAATTCAATAATACACTGAAAAAAGAAGGATTTACTAGCAAAGGGGCTTAAAATGGGCGTTTCCTTCCAAAATAATTTATTGACAAAACTTCAATAAAGCCTAATTAAATATATTGAAAGCTTAAAATAATTTTTTCCATATATTTTTTGTCTATAATATTTTTTTTTTATACATACATACCTCTATCCCGAATCCCCAATCCGCTTTTCTTTGGAGGAAGCGTGCAAAATTGTGACACACAAAGATAGCGACAACGCGACGACAACAACGACAGCTCCACAACAACAACAAAAATTAGAAAAAATAAAAAACATTAAAGCCAAGAAACGGCAATCACGACAACTTCACCTCAGACTGTATTTGCCATTGTTGGTTTTTCTTTTCACAGTCTGTGCCGGGAAATCTTGTTTTCCTCCAATGCGGAGATTTGGTTTCAATATTTGCAGTTGTTGGCTGTCAGAAAACTTATTCAATTTGTTAATTATTTGGGTGCAGAGCGAAATTGGGGTAAAATAGGAATAAATAACATAAATCAGTATGGAAAAGTCACTATAATACACCTCTAAAAAATATATATATAAATGTGGAAACCCATTCAGAAAAAAACACATAAAATATATGTGCCATTTAAAAGATAATAATGATCAACTTCTTCATTTTTTTTATACTATATTTGTATTTGTATTATAATTATTTCATAATTTTATAAACTCTTAGAATATCAAAATTCCTTACGTAAAAATGGCCGTGTAAAATGTAAATAAATGGCCGCTTGCAATGCACCCAAAAAAAGTGTAGCCTAACCCGTAGGCGCCTTTCAAAATGGCTTCACCCAAGATGGCTTGAATCGAAAAAAACCATTGCCTATCCAAAAGGGCACAAGTGATAATCTTTCGCAACTGAAAGCGATTTAAAAAGTGAAATTCTCAAATTGCTTTGTAAGTTGACCCCCGAGTTGACCTCGAGTTATTTTCGCTCTGTTACCAAGGCTATAATTACGGTGTCCTCAAAGGACTTGCCACGCTTACTCATCACGTGTGTGGAGCGAGTCCTTGTCACCGCCTGCACTGACTACGTCCCCACTTCAGGAGTGACGTATAAATCACTAAAGCAACAATAACAACACCAAACCACCAAACATTTGTGTGTTAAATGTCAAAACAAAGCATTTAAGCTCTCAGGGGGGGAGCCACAAACATTGCTCTTTTTCTCTCGGCTTCTCAGGTGGTTCTCTCCATTTGTCTCAGTTTCTCTCTCTCGGTGGCGGCGCATGCGCCAAACGTGTAGGAATTGGGGGCTTCGAGCTTGGACTGACAGCTGCCACATTTCTCGGGTCTCAGTTCCGCGTCGGAGCTCCAAGCGTTAAACAGCTCGTTACCACGTTGCAAGTGTCGCCTTTTTTGTTTATTTTAGAGCTTGTCTGAGTGAAATTGTAAACGAAAGCTGGCTGATTAATAGAATAAACAGAAGAGTCGTGAAATAAAAATAAAAAGAAACTGGTTTGTGGCCGATTCCGGGTGGCATAGCAACCCCCCCGTGCAACTAAAACCAAAAATAAAGAGAGTGCTCTCAACAGCAACCCAAGGGGGTGGCTTCCCTTTTTTCCGGACTTCATAGCCAGCCGGATCGATACCCTCAATGCAACCGTGTTGTGGCACACAAAAGTGAAAAGCCAACAAAGAGAAATGTGCTTCTTCTAACCGGGCTTACCCGGTCTCGCCAGAACAGTAACCTATCAGAGGACCTATCAGAGTTCCCAGGACCCAACCACATGGATGCCAAGCCAGCGAAACGCTCGACGGCAGCCTCTGTCTTCCGCTCCCATCACGTGGTCCGGGATGCCGACCTGGTGGACATAGGCAGTGATGCTTCTCTCTACTGCGGCTCTGATGGCGAGTCCACAGCCACGCCACAGTCTCAATCACAGAGCATTTCCGCTTCCCATCCTGGCCAGGATTCGGAGCAGCCGCAGCCAACACCTCGAGCAGCGCCGAGAGCAACAGCCGCCGCCAATAATCCGCCAACACCCAAACCTCGACAGGCCATCAAGTCATCAAAAGGTAGTCAGCCCCTTCACGAAAAACCCTAAATGGAAAAGCAACAAACACGTCGAACAAACAACAACATCTTAAAAAACGCTTTTTCATTGTTGAATGTGCTCCGTTTTGACCTGGTTTCAATTTCTGGTGGCATTTGTGTGGGGAAGTGGGGTGGGGGTTGTGGGGGCCAAGTAGACTTCCCCCGTAGGCAGTGTTTTGTGTTCAAGGAGCCACTGTGTGGCAACTGCAGTGGCTGCGGTAATTGCCGTCATGATATGACTTCGGCTTAAGCTTCAGTCATTAGAGGCATGAAGAAATCAAGTCGAACTCGAGTATATTTTGATGGGGAAGTGGTAATGCTCTTTCTAACAGATTTATAAACTTAGAAGCCTTGTACATAATCTTTTAAAGCGTTTTCTTAGCTTTAAAAACAAGATAAAACCCCTTCCTTCCTGGCTAAAACCATAGTATTACAAACTTCGTGTTATACCCCCCGGCAAAAGGTTAAAGTTGGGTCACAGCGTATAGCCCCCAGTGGGCAGTTGCCAGACGGATCACGTAGTGGTTATTATAGGGCCAGGCCATAAAGTATCTTTGGATGAAACAACTTTTCCGCTGCAGATACTCTCTGCAAAAAGTTCCCAGGCATTGTGCAACGCCTCGCGGAGTGGGTTTCATAAGTAGAACCATTAAGTGCGTTGGGTTTAACGGCTTTTATGGACTAGTCTAACGCCTTTAAAAAAACCAAACAAAAAGACTATAAAAAATGAAGAAAATAATAATGTAAAGGCGCTGACAACTGGAGACTTCAATGGAACCGAGAATAGAGTCATGTCAACTCTAATTGCACAATGAGTGAACAAAAAAAGGGGTATCTTATAAGATGGGGACCTCTTACCCAGGGCCTGCCTACTCCATTACTCAACGATATTCATTAGATAATCTAATCAAGCTGTATTTTCCCATAACTTTTACTTTCGAGCCAAAGATTTATTGTTTCTTTGATCTATTTTTTCCAAGTACTCGCAGAAAAATCGTACTACCCAGTGCTTCCAAGTGCAAATTCCACGTTGTCACGATCCCGACAGCGGCTCATCAAAGTGGATTTCTCAAAGTTTCAGGTAAGACCTATCTATGAGGAAATATTTTCAAAAATGTTGTACTAATTTTTGTTTTTGTAATTTCCCAAGGACGATGAGCCCTTCTGTGATGAATCAAGCATTAGTAGCTCCCACTCCACAGCGGCCACCCTCCACCATCAGCGTCTGCACCTGGCCGAGATGCATCGCTACTCGCAGCCCAAGATGCCCCCGTACCCGATTGGTGGCTACATGGTGCCCAGCCAGGCGCATCATGATAGCCAGGCGACGGCGTCGCTGATGCGGCCCAGACGCACAAGTGAGTATCCGATTCTATCTGGCGATTGGGCAATATCTATATCTATATATCTAAAACCCACACGGGCACTTTGGTGGCACTAGATCTCAAAAGCACAAAGTATAAAGTCGGGTTTTTTGTAACTTGAGATTTTGGTTAAGAATTTATCTGAGAATATATAGATGGTTTTCAAAGGGCTATAATCTAGAATAGAAAAACCCTTCATTCTTAATGCTTTTTAAATTAAAATTCTTTATCAAAAATTATTCAATTAAAGCCTTTCTCTAGCTTATATAATTTAATTTGTTTATCCGCTCAAAGATGTACCACTTTTACCAAAAGTTTACTTAATGCTTTCGCTGTTGACGGAAATAAAATTATTACCATTTAGGGCTAAGACGAAACCGGTTTAATTTGTGCTTTAGCTTCAAGCCATGGCCAAGCCATTGCCAAAAAAAAAAACAGATCTATTTGTATATTTTGCTTTAAATCGCAAACAGGAAGTTGCAGTGCAATGCATCTCTCCGTCTGTGATATGGTTTTAGTTTATTTTATATTTTTAATTTATTTTTATTTCTTACTTTTTTCCTTTCCTTCCACTACCAACAATAAAACAAAACACTTAATTTTTGCAAAAGGTATTTGATCGTTTTTCTGTGAACACAATGCTAACTTGTATCGATCTAATAATTTTTATGATTTTGTAAAACGTCACGAGGGCCCCAGAGTATAGTTTCCAAAAACACCGCCAATAATCTAAAGTTTGGTGTGGGCTGAGCTAACAACAAAAAAATGGAAAGAATTAAAAATATTTAAATTGGCGATCGGTTAAGGAGGCACTTACGCACACCCCCACACACAAATATACAACAACAAAGAAATCTCGAAATATTTTGTAAAAATAAAAAAATATCAAGTAAAAGTAGAAATAAAATGAAAGTCTACAATAATTTGCTTTCTAGTATTATTTTTATGGCACTTAGTAGATTATTATTTTGGTACTAACTTGATTTTTCGGTTGCTTTATGATATTTTCCCAAAAATAATATATTTTTAACTTTGCCATATGAATTACGCTTAAAAAAATATTAAAAAATTGAAACCAAAAAACGAACAAATTATATGCTGCCTAAAAAAATAAAATAATAATAAAAGTGGAGCCAGCGAAGCAGGCGCCACCCGAAGAGCCATCCTTCACGGAGGACGAGTACCACAGATTCTACGACACGGCCTTGGAATGTAAATATTTTCTAAAAACTATAGAAAATAATAATGCATTGCCATTTTGCATGATTGTACCTCATATATTGGATATCAAATTTGCATATCAAAGTCTGTCAGTCACGCCCATTAAATGCAACGCCCTTAAGAGCATATACATCCAAGACCCTGCTTGCTTTAAAAATAAAACTACATGACCCTGCTGCAGTCGACACATTTAACATTTATCCACTTTAACGACACTCGTACCCACCGTTCTTACCACCTACACCACTCCCTAACCCTTGTCTGTTCTCGTACTTGCATATGGAATTACTCATCCGCAGTGTTGGCCCCGAACTAACTGTGATGTGCCCTCTGTTCCATTTCTTTCCCAGCTTACGACCTGGCCACTCAGTGCGAGTCGAGGCGCGCCTCCACGCGCCGCCACACCATCGTGGGCTGTCAGAGCAATCTGGACGAGACGCACTCAATGCCGCCCACGCGGCCGGAATCGCGTCAATCCGATGACGTCAGCAAGGAGGTAAGACCATCGGGCATTATAATAAAGTTTTTATGTTTAGTAGATATGTCATTTGATGGATGGAAAAGATGGAATGATGTTTATCAAGTAAACACATTTTAAAAAGTTTTCTAAACTCTTATAATCTGCAAGATTAATGATTAAGTATCCCCTTTCCCATTCCAGCCATCCAAGCGAAGCCCCATGGAACAAACAAATCCAACCACAGACGAGGCCAGTTCAACATCCTCCCTTGGCCCATGGAACAAGTCCTTCATGGACAAACAGACCTGGATGGAACGGGGGGACGATCGCCTGTCCGTCACGCTGGCGGAGATCGTTCACATCCGTTCCGTCATGACCAAGGCGGAGCTGGAGGGCCTGCCGATGGACGTGCGCGTCAAGGAGGATGTTGAAAAGCGTCGCGTCTGCTTCCTGTGTCTGCGCACCCGTTTCTCCTTCTTTGGACCCTGGGGCATCCAGTGCAAGCTTTGCCAGCGTACAGTCTGCGCGAAGTGTTACACCAAGGTAAGGACCACTTTTAGGGATTAAGATTTGGAAAATCATCTATAGAATTATCCACCTTTTAGATGCGAATTCCTTCGGAGCATTTCCGGAATGTGCCCCTCGTGCTGATCTCACCATCGCTGCTGTCCAGCCCGGCCAGCTCGAGCACACCCTCACCCTCCCATCATGCCCATCAGGCGCACTCGTCCTCGACGGGGAACATTGTGGATGACCAGTTTCCCAAGTCCCTGATCGAGCGTCTTCTGCGATCCGAGTCAGATAGAAAGGTAAACTAATATTATTTTAATTATTTAAAGAGAAAGCTTATAATATTCATTCCACTTCAGACTCGCAGCACTGTGGGCAGTGCCCCATCCTCACCCAAGCACCAAAGATCAAACATGAGCACGCCGGGCATCAGCGTGGGACCCGGAGCCTCGGCCGCCCATGCCACTGGCCAGGCGGTGGAGGCGTTGCACGACCAGGCGGCCATGTCGGCCTCCTACTCGGCGGCAATGCGACCCTCTGGCGTTCACCAGCATCAGAAGCAGCACTACAACAACGCCATGTCCCGGAGCATGGAGGGACCCCGGAGTCTGCCCGTGCACAGCCCTGCATATCGACCGCTTTCCAACAACAGCACCTTGGAAAGAAAGTGAGTATACTGCCGAGGACCTTACTTCCAAATACTTATATCTCTCTATGATCTGTAGATCCCGCTTCTCGAGGGGCTTCAACCTGTTCTCCTCGGGCAGCCACCTGGCCCAGACCCCGGAACAGAAGGAGAACCTGCGGGGCGAGCAGGTGACTGTGTGCAACGACTGCCAGGGCTTGGTCAACGAGATCACCAGCTCTGTGAAGCAGAAGCGCAGCTCCGCCCGGAACCGAACCATACAGAATCTCACCCTGGATCTGACGCCCGTCTGGAAGTAGGCGGGTGGACTCCCCCCCGCTGGAGGAGGAGGAGGAGCAGTGCGTTCAAAGGCCATAAGAGATTTGCGTTTTGGGGTTCTTACGACTGACATTACCACTTACTCGATCAATTCATTAACCAAAAACGGACTTTTCTTGATAACTGACTGGATTGGCCAACGGAGTTCTTAACGGCATTTTGTATTATGCATTTTTTTGTGACTTTTTTATGGCTTTTGCAACGCACTCTAAACAATTAGGATAATAAAAAGGATAAAAGATGTAAATGTTAGACTAGTGAATATATAAGATGAAACGAAATACTGAATTCCTGGCTGAAGCTTTGTATATTTCTGCCGGCTACAGAGAGAAAGATATCCGCTTGATCGCACCCCACCATATACTTATATATATATATATAGAAGGAAGATAACTGTACACATCGCTATACATTATACTATATCGTTGTTTATAATTGTTTAATTTATGCGTAAATGTTGAATAAGTACATGTACTCGTAACCCCCCTATATCTTCGTATATCAGCTTGTGCTCTCGATAAGGCATTAGCAATGATATCACTCGTATATTTGAGATGAAAACTCCCCAGTTTTCGGTTCAGAGATTGAATTTCGGATTAGAACATTATGAGTGGAGAGTGTTGTGACCTTTTGTGCTTGCACAGATCGGATTAATTGTTTACTTTTCGTAAAGTTATCGTTTTGTTTCCCCCATTAACTACCCACGTCAATGTATAACGCAAGAACTACTTAGTTAATAGCTCAATTTAATTTTAATCGCAGTTGCAATGCAACCACCTATTTCTGTTTAGTTCGAATAGTTTTAATTATTCCCCCCCCATATAAGCATAAGTGACCTCAATATAATTGTACAAGATGATACTGATACTGATGATGATGCAAAGCGAAGACCCTTAACAAATCAATAATTATACATACTATATAGTTTTGTAGTTTTGAACAAAAATTCTCTTATTTTCCTGTTATTGTAAATGCATTTAAATACTTGTAATTTATCAAAGTAACATTAAAGTTTTATGCTTTTAAGTTCAATTATTTTGCTATGATTTAACACCCATCCCCACACACCCAACACACAACACACAAAGAAATCGAAAATACACAAAACAGCAATAAAAATTAATGAAATCATAATCATAGTCTTTATTTGTGGCTTTCTATTTAAGGAAACAAAATAGTCTTCTATGTTTAATAAATTAAAAGTATATCTCGTTCACTATGTAACAGACTATACATATTTCATGGGAGAAACGATTAATTCGTCAACTACAAGAAAGCAATACGAGTTTCATATAATGTTACAGCTTAATGCTAAGTCAACTAGATCTACCGAGTAACAGCTGAGCAGGATCCACTGCCAGGAAGAGGACTCGGGCTACCGAGGATTTGGCCTTACTCCCGACGCCCCTTCTTGCTGTTGTGCTTGTGATCGCCGCCGCCTTGACGCTTGCGATTGTTGAAGCGTTTGCCCTTGTTGCGGACAAAGTCGCGTCGCTTCTTCATGAACTCGACGGCCTTGTCCAGGAACTCCTTCTCCTCCTCTTCGTTGGCCTTGCGCAGCGTGAGAGATACCTCATCGTTCAACTTGAGCTGTGAGTTAAGGAGTTAGTTTCAGTTTTTAATAAATGGTGTTTTATGACCTACCTTGCCCTCCTCCACCTTGGCAATGTATTTCTCGGCCGCATCCGCTTCAGTCAATCGCACAGATCCCTTAGTGTCGCCCTTGCTGAACTCAATAAAGGCGATTTCAAAGTCTGCGACTTTCTCAAAGGCCTCGCGGATCTCCTCGCGAGTAGCAGTCTCTGGCGCTCCCTCAAAGACAACGATGGCGTTCTTGGGCAGCTCGATTGGTGGCTCCACCTTGGCCGCCTCCTTCTTGTTCTTGCGCTTCTCGTTCTTCTGGGCATACTCCTCCTGCTTCTCCTTCAGGTAGTCCACCTGCCACTTGCGCAGCAGCTCCCGCTCCTTGTACACGATTTTGTCCTGTGCGAGGAAGGCTGTGGCCTGGTCCTTGGTTTCGAAGGTGAGGAAAATGCTGCCCTTGAACTTGTACGACTTGGTGGGCTTGTCGTAGTGCTTTCGCATCGTGATGTTAACCACTTTGTCGTAGCTGGCGAAGAAGTCTAACAGCTCGGACATCTGCGACTCAAGGGGGAAGCCCTTGGCGTATGTGGTGCGCTCCTGGATCTCCTTGCGGCGCTCCTCGTTGTGCTCGGGGATGGGACGCTCTGGGTGGCGGCGCAGACTCTGCTTGTCCTCGCTTATCTGGATCAGACCCTCTTCGGATTTGTTCAGAGCCGCCACAATCTCGTCAATGTCGGTGGACAGAGAAGCCAGCCGCTTGAAGGTAATCAGCACGGAGAAAGGAACCCAGCCATCTTCGCTTTTGCCAATCTGCTCGCGCAGGAACTTGTCCCGGTTGAGATTCGCATCGCCAAAGTAGTACTCAACCTGCCGGATTATGGCGCGCTCCTGCTTAGAGAAGTCGGTGCCCTCGTCGGCGGCCGGAGCCGGTTCCTTCTGGGTATCGCCATTCTTGGTCTCGGGCTCAGCGACGGGCACATCGGCAGGAGGAGCCTGCTCCTTTACCTCAACACTGGGGGCAGCAGCAACGTCGGCCATCGTAGTAATCGTATTTAACGCAAAAACCAAGAAATCAACGTGCGAACACAAACACGTGTGCGATGGCAAGAACGTTTACCAGCACTCGCAAGCTTCTTAACCAACACTGCTATCGATAACTGTGGATAATCGATAGATGTGATGGGGCTATCGCAGGATGTCCACCTCTAGTCAGTTTTCTATTTTGGTCCGTTCGCTGTTTTATTTATGTTTGCCATGTTAGAAAAAATTAATTGATAGTGCTTAAAGAGGTAGACAGAGGTCCCAAGTGCGCTCCGAGCGGGATTGCCTCGAAAAAGCCAAAGACGCGGCGCAGCCCCAAGGCGAAAGTTGAAATCGCAACGGAAATGGAAAATCGTGCAGTTTCCACTTGCAATAAATAGTGAAAAAGTGTGCTTCTCGGTATCTCGGGGGTATTTAACTCAATTGTGTATATAATTGAGGGTGTAATATAGCTGGGGAGCGGCCAAGAAAACGAGTGGGCGTCGGAGAAGCCACTATTACTCACTTTTCTATTTCTGCTCGCCGAACGACAACGAACAACAACAAACAGAGCAACAAATGTTTGTTAAACAGCTCCCAGCTGAAAGGTGAGTGGCTCTTTGCGGAGCAGACAGATTGGCTGGAGGATGACTCAGGTTCTGCCCCCCCCTTTGAACTATGGGGTTCAGTGGCATTGGCCAATACCTCTGCCCTACCAGTGCCACCCTCTGCCTATGATGCGTCATCCAAGTGGAGCGGATCTCTAACCAGCAGACACAGTGGCACCTCGCTAAGTGAGAAGTGCAGGGCATATAGGCTCTGGAGTTACAATATCATAGTTACACTGTAAAACCACATAGTTTATATTGACTTTTCACGTATTTTTATTAATTTATGGTCCACAAATGGCGATAATTAACTAATCAAACAAATATTTAAGCTCTTTAGGATCGAGGTGTAAATATACAATTGTGTGGAGACAGTTTATCTGATAAGATCACCTCTTATCTGTAGAGGTTGCTCTGTATTTTAATAAATTTGTTGCCCAACTTCCTCACTCATTTTTTTTCGGGAAGTCTCCAATGCGCCGTCTCCAAGGAGGTGCCCGACTCCGTCTGCATAATCCATTGGGTCAATAGCGAGGCACCCCCGACCACATAGCATCAGCCATCCATAGCCCAGACCACGTTTCCTCCACCCAGCCAACAAAGAGCCTTCTTTCTTCTTCCAGAGCCATTCGCTGTGAAAATAAACTGCACTTCTAGCTAGAAAATAAAGAGGCAACCACCCAAGCTCCCTCGGTGGATGTTGCAGGCCAACAAGCATCATTACCCAAACATTTTTGAACTCTTGCCAAAAGAGAATTCTTTTCAGGCAGTGGGGGTTTTGTATTATTTACATTTGAGGTCTCTAGATGGAAGGCTTAAAGGAGGCAATGGTTTCAGGTAAAACTTTAAATAAAAACTAGCTATCTAAAGGTTCTTGATTAGTTTTCTTAGACTTACCGCTGCTGACCTCGTTTACCATCAGGAGAGAGAACTTCAAACAACAAAGTCCAATCAAATCAAATTATGAACTCCCACTCGCTCACCTCTTTTCTGGGTCGTATCTGTGGGCTGACACATCCGACAACTTCCTCCCTCGACAACTCTACCAACTCTGCTGCCTCAAGCTATAAATACGACAAAGCAATTAAATTATATTATGTCTATATATTCCACTGGCTGGGGGGTGAGGAAATGCATCTCAAGTGACTGCAGCCAGTAAATCTCGATATTGACACATTGAAGGGGCATTGAGTGCAGTGGGATGGCTGATGGGAGGGCCAGGAGGTGCCTCTACGATCCGGCCGTGACGAGATATTGCCGGTTATAGAACTGCATAAATTTGGTTTTGTCTTTTCGGCTAAAAATTGTTTTTATTTTGGTGTGACTTTCGTGACTTTGTGGCCCGAAAAAGCAAAACAATAACAATGCTGCCACTCGCTTTTCTTTCGATTTTTGTTTACATTTTCCCCGAGAATCCCGAAAATAAACACAATCTTCTCTGGCTTTTCCCCTCCTAAGATCGTCAAATTGCGCATTTCCGGAAGCCGTAGGACATTTCATTTGATTTCTGCCTTTAGTGACAGATCGTTAATATCCGAGAGAGAGTGAGAGCGAGCGTGGGCTGCATCTGTATCTATGTATCTGTGTATCTCAGAGTGTGTATGTTTGAGTTGCATCTATAGCTCATAGTCGGCGCCATGTGCAAGCTTTAATGAATTAATTAAATTTTGGTGCGGTGGCAGCTTTTGGCTTTGAAAGCATTCATTCCGCTGGGGTGCATCTTTGTATCTTTGTATCTCTGACCTCTGATGGCTTCATGATGGTTGCAGCCACGGCCTGCCTGCCACCTACGGAAATTTGATTGTTGCCGGCCATGGACTTAAAGTGTGTTTCAGGGTTATATGAGGGGATATAGGAATAACTTTTTTTTAAATAAAATTCTACCTCAAAAATATTGTTTTCTAGAACATTTCCTGTGATTTATTATAAATATTTTTTTTATTACCAGACCCAGAGCCACTAAAAGCCACAATGTCAGGTTATTACTCAAATATCATACATATGTGTGTCTTGGGAATTGGGATTTCTTGAAAACCACATTCCATGGGCATTCATGAATCATAGTTGTATGTTTTTAAGAAACTGAACGGAACAGGTGAGGTTTTTGCGAAAATAATTCAACAACTAGGAGTATATAAGTATTTAATATTTTTATATTATTATTTCTTTTTTCAAAACACAAAAGAAAGGCACACATCTCTTTCCAAAGACGAAGGAATGCCGGTGTCGCCTATTTCTCAATGAAAATTAAGATACAGTCCCCCCCATTTTGGAAACTGTCTGGCCGAGATGCATATATATTTTCCTTGTTGTCTTTTGTCATATCTCTGTTGATTTTTCGTGAAAATATATAGCGATATATCCGCCAGATATACATATGTATGTATGAGGATCTACGTCGATGGACGAGTCTCTCACGTTCTGCCCAGATCCCCCCCCAAAAAGTGACAGAGAGCCACTTTCGGATGTTGTGGAAAATTCGGCTGCCATTTGTCGCCAGTTCTCAGCATCAGTCTCAGTATTTCTGTATTCTGTCGTGTGGTGGCCAGTTTTGCCAAAGCAATGAGCGCGTGCGGTGCAGAATCGTCGGAAAACGCCAACTTTTCGTACAAGTATATATCAGTATATATATATATCGAGTATATATATAAGCGACAATTTAGAGGCATTTTTATATGCGTGTGTGCAACCAAAACGTGACCTTGCCTCCAACGAACCGAATTCCTACGGAAATCTTCTGATTAATCTTGACAACTCGGCGTGTGTGCTGCATGCCCCCAAAAGTGCTCTCTATAGACCAGATTCCCTTTCCTGCCATATGGGAGCTCCGATATGATTTATATATTTTTATTTTTATTTTTAGTAGCCGCCCAGCGGAATGATGTTTTTTTGGGCAAAATAAATACTTTCTAGTCATATTTTTGCGTTTACTCATTGCAGCCATATAGCAGAATAGACCAGAAATGTGATTAATCTTCTAAAAATATATCCATAGAGGAATAAGAGATCTACAAAGTGAGCTTAATGGATTCATAAACACTTTTTAGTGACCAAACTGGGTGTTCTAGTTCGACAATAGCTTTGCTAGTTGACTAATCACCTGCAAACGTGTACCTGTGCAACAGAAAAAAATTTATAAATAATTTATCAGCAAAAAAAAATAATGACAGAAAGGTCTGATAACAAGGTTTGCAATTGGGGTTTGGTGGCGACAAGGTTGGGCTGGGAAATGTTGGAGTGGAAAAGTATAGAAACCCTAGAGAACCCCCTCTCCAAAGACCTTCCTTCATAAGGAAGTGCTGTCATCCATTTAAGAATTTTACGATAAACATAAATACCCATCGATGGCCGAGCATGTTGGCGCAATTATAGAGATATAGCTATAGAGCTATAGCTGATCTCTTAAAGAATTGTTCCAACAGACCATAAAAAATCGGACACGATCGTTGTTTATGATTTATCTGCTGGCTGCTTTTATGGCCCTAAATGAAATGTTATTCTTTCGCAATTTCAAGCTGTGGCACTAATGGCTGCTTGGTGACCTTGGCCATCGTCTTCCAGGCCAGTGCCAGTGCCAGTGGCAGTGGGGTGGGGGTGAGGAGGTGCCAGAAAAATGTCAAGAAACTTGCGCACGCCTTCTCGACAAACCCGAACAGATGTTTTCAAAATGTTTTCTTTTCGGGCCATAATAATTATGTTTTGGCTAATGCCAAATAGCCAATGGAATTCCAAACGAGCCACGCCAATGATGAGCAAATTGCAGTGATGCGTAGGATGGCATGTGCTTCCATTCAGACTGGCTGGTATTTCAAGTTCAACCTCGTGTTTCTGATCGTTTCAGTTGAAGAAATCTAGAGCGGACCTGTGACAGCGCCGACAATGGAGCAGCCACTGGTGGTGCAGGCAGAGTACTCCTTCATGGGCAGCAACAACGATGAGCTGTGCTTCCAGAAGGGCGACATCATCACGGTGACCCAGCGCGAGGACGGCGGCTGGTGGGAGGGAACACTCAACGACAAGACTGGCTGGTTCCCCAGCAACTATGTCAACGAATGCAAAGGCCAGCTGCCCCTGGCAGAGACCATCCGGCCGCCGGAGGAGATCCAGGAGTATCGCTCGGTGGTCCTCAAAGATCTCCTCGACTCGGAGCGGGCGCATGTGGCCGAGCTGCAGGGCCTACTCGAGAACTTCCTGGAGCCCATGCAACAGACACAGATGTAAGTATGGAGGGAGTCTTATTTTTGAAAAATATTTACTTAGAAAGTGGTTTCCCTTGCAGACTCAGCCAGGACGAGTATGCCCAGCTGATGTGCAACTTTGTGGAGATTGTGCGCACCCACGAGGAGCTGCTCATCCAGATCGAGGAGTGCAACGACCGGGTGGGCAAGCTCTTCCTCACCAGTGCCCCGCTGATGAAGAAGGTACACCAGGCCTACTGTGCCTCCCACCCCAAGGCCATAGTTATCCTGGACAAGTACAAGTGAGTCTTTATAGGCCTTTCGAGAAATTCCTACACCCACACTATTAGAAAGCTTTTTCCCACCAAAAGTCTATAAATATTCCCAGTCTTTTATTGAAAGATTTAAATTATTGGTCTTCCTTATTTCTAAAGATATATTTCATTCAAAAAAGATACATATTTTAAAGATACATATTCTAAAGATACAAATATTCCTCCCCAGAGATGATCTTGAAAAGTATATGGAAAGGCAGGGAGCAGCCACACCGGGCCTACTAGTGCTCACCACCGGCCTCTCGAAGCCTTTCCGCCGTCTGGACAAGTACTCGGCCATGCTGCAAGAGCTGGAGCGGCACATGGAGAGCAGCCACCCCGATCGCGGTGACACCCAACGCAGTGTAGCCGTCTACAAGGACATAGCGGCCACCTGCTCGGCCACACGACGCCAAAAGGAGCTCGAGTTACAGGTGCTGACAGGGCCAGTGCGAGGCTGGCAAGGTCAGGAGCTGAGCACCCTCGGCGACATCATACACATGGGCAGTGTGGCGGTGGGAGCCGACCACCGTGATCGGTACTTTGTACTCTTCCCACAGACCCTGCTCTTCCTGAGCGTCAGTCAGCGCATGAGTGCCTTCATCTATGAGGTTTGTCTTTAAGGATGGTCCTTAAAGAGAGCTTGTACTCACAATCCACCCTTTCCAGGGCAAACTACCTCTGACTGGGATCATTGTTAACCGCCTGGAGGACACGGATGCCATTAAAAACGCCTTCGAGATCAGCAGCCCCCTGATAGATCGCATTGTGGCCGTCTGCCAGGGACCCAACGAGGCCAACAAGTGGGTGGAGCTGCTGAACGCCAACAATCCCACCCTGCCGATGGGCATCAAGCGCCAGCTGAGCAACCTGAGCAACTCCTCGCTGGGCCACCTGAACGCCTCCCACGTAAGTAGTTCACTTTTCAATGTTATCCCTCGATTACACTTCAGTTTTGGCCACAAAATCATATATAACCTTGACGCGAGCAGCTGAGCCAGCACCTGGATTCGCGCGGCTACTGCACGCGGTTCTCGCTCTGCGCCTACTACTCCAGTCCACCTGTCCAGGCGCCTCCCCTGCGCTTGACCCTGCCGCCCAAGAACTATCCGCCCACGGCGCCGTACGCCAACCTGAGCGCCCACTTTGCCAGGCTGGTGAAGGGCGGTGGCCTCCGGAGTGCCATCGTGAAGATGCTCCTCTATCCGCAGGCTCGCCAGAGCATTGATCTCAAGCGGATAGCGTTGCGGAAGAAGCGGTGCCACAAGGCCGCAGCCAAGCTGAAGAACCTCAATGGCAATCAGGACTCGGGGCAGTCGGAGCTGGAGCGGCAGGACGCCATTGAGCTGCCCACCGACTCGGAGAGCTACGAGGATGACTTCGAGGATGGGGACTTTCTGCATTCCTGTGACTCGGATCCGTTTGAGTATGTCCAGTTCTACCAGAACAAGCGTAACGATTCCATGTGCAACTCCACGGGCACCTTTGTTGACCATGGCACGGCTGCCAGGCGGCACTGCTCCTCCATTAATCTCATCAAGCTGGACTCTGTAGACCCGGATGAAGTGTTGGCACAGAACGAACTCAAGAAGGAGTCTCTTGTCATTGGTTCCAGGGCTCTGAGAGCCTTGGCCCACAAATCCCTCAATCGAAATTCCAGCGTGCACACCTCCACGGCCACCTTGGAGCTGGGGACTGGCGGCAGCATCACCAACCGCGTGGAGGAGGAGGAGGAAGAGGAGGAACCAGTTGGGAAGATGCAGCCATCCTTTTCGCTTCAACAGCAGAGCTCCGATGCCAGTTCCATGTATGCAGCGCGGTTGGGCGGAGCCTTCACCGCCTGCGAGAACCTGGCCAGCATGCCGGACGATCTCAGCCGGGAACCGGGCGGCCAGGAGCCGGCACAGCCCCTCCCAGCCTCTCCGACAGAACGCCACAGCATGCCCAGCATTTTTGTGGGCAACCGCTTCAATGTCAGCAAGAACACGGAGGTGTACGTGCCCACCTGGCGGGATCGCCAGGAGATGCAGAACCAGAGTGTGGATGCTGGGCAGCTGGACGAGGAGGAGGAGCTGCACTCCAGTTCCATGGACCTGCCTGCCGCCTGTCGCACTGCCCCGGATAAGCTCCAAGCAGAGTTGCTGTACAATTACGAGGAGGTGATGCACAATCCCCTGAAGCTGCAGCGGGAGGCCACTCCCTTCCAGGGCCACCATCTCAACTCGGACAAGCGGGTGTCCCACAAGAGCGACAGTCCCTCGACGGGCAATCCCAAGCCGGACTCGAGTGCAGCCCTCCGAAGCAGTTCCACCACCGAACTCTGCATCGAGACTGCCTCCAAGAAGCGAAACCCACCGCCGGAGAGGAGTAGAGACTCCATCCGGCGCTGCATAAGCTACCAGTTCCTGCAGATGTCCAATCGCCCAGCTCCACCTCCGCCACCCCCACGACGCGACAAAGACCTGCACCTGGACACCAAATGCCGCTGCTGTGAGAGCTCCCAGTGCCCCAGTCCGCGCTCCAGTGACAGTGGAATGGCTGGCAGCTGCACCATCACCTCGCCAGATCCCCCCAATCCAGAGGCATACTTCCCACTGACCGAAACCGGCCAGGATATGCTGGACAATGTGGAGCCGGAGCGATTCGATGTGTGTGGCATGTTCAGGGAAAAGTTCCTGACCCCAGAGGCCACGCAGGATGAGGAAGTGGGGCCTCCGGAGGAGAAAGAGGAGCACCAACCGCTGCCGGAAGAGCCCACCACTCCCACCAACCGCAAGGAGGACTCCCCCTGCATTAGTTCCGCCCAAGTGCAGGTCAATTCCAGGAGTATATTCCTGCCCTCCAGCTCGAGCATGGACGAAACCCACCGCAATCCGAACTCCAATGATCTCCTCTTCAGCTCCAGCTCCACGGACCGTCTGGGGCAGCAGGAAACCTTCCGCTCTGGCATGTATGCCCACTGGTGGAAGAAGGAGCGCCTTCCACCGGAGGTGGTGCGCGGCATAGCCCATGCCTACAACAAGAGCCTGACCTCCAAGGACTCGAAGGACTCGGGATCCGTGTGCTCCAGCTGCTACTGTTCGCTGGGGGCGGGAGGGTATAGCGAGGGCGCTCTGTACTGTTCCATTTGTGCAGATTTCTATGGCGGAAGCACCACCAGTACCACAAACACCACAACGACCACCTCCAGCTGCCCGCTGTGTAGCGAGGATGAGGGCATGATAGCCTCCAGCCACGACTCGTCCTCGCTGGAATGTGCCATATGTGCGGGCCGTGTTGCTTCGACGGCCGAAGAAGGCAAGCAAACCGAACTGAGACGCCGGCCAGGTGGCCTGGCCAGTGGAGACTCCTCCTCGACCGGACACGGGCGGTGTTCAGGTGTCCAGGTGGCCTGGCCGGCGGGCGTTTGTTCCGTGCACGTGTTCCGTTTAATTGTTTTGTAAATTCGTTATGCTCTCTCATGTTCCTCGCAAATTCGGCCAAAAACAGCAGCACGTCCAAAAGATGCATTGCTTCCCACATCATCACATCCTTGACTAACCCCCAAAGCGAAATCATTGTTGGCTTGACACTCAAGAAGATAATACCACGTTTACACAAAACTATACTTTGGATACTAATGTCCTTAAAGTGGAGGTATCCCTAGAAGAAGGCTAAACGATTTACAAAACACACTCGACTCGAATATTAAACAGAAAACTGGAAAATTCAAAATTTCAAAAAAAAAAACAAACGCATTCGATTCGATTTGCTTGCTGCGCTTTGCTGGCTGCAGGACATGCCTGAAGGACTCGCCTCCTGCCTCCTGCCGCTGTACGTTGTTCTTGTTATTCCCGCCAACTAAGAGACTCGACGATCATAAAACTAACTTTAACTTGAAATTGTTTCGATTTTTCTTCTTAAATGCCTTGAAATTATTTGAAATTAATTTTAAAAATCTATTCTTCAATAAAATATTTAATAATTCTTTTATTTTCCTTGCAGATGTCGCCACCAACGAGCCACAGCATGCTGCTGCCACCGGGCGTCCGTCCGCCAACGACGCCATCCAACATACCGGGCAGCGGCAACAGCGGGAGCAACAGCCACCAGGGCTCACCGGCCACCAACTCGATGTCACAACACAAACGGAGCCAGTCGTTCAACCACCATCTCAGCTACAATCAGTACACGCCCACTCAGCCTCCACCACATCATCTGCATCCACCACAACCACCAAGTCTGCCAAGTCATCTGGGGCCGGTCGTCCCCAGATTAAGTTCAGTCCAGACACCAAACAGCAAGACAGCAGCTCCAGTCACGGGGTCAGCCATGGACGGCAGTCCAGCGGCGCTTCAGGCAGCAGCAGCAGCGGCACAGGGGGGGCCAAACGCAAGGAAAGGAAGCACAAAGGGTGAGTTTGCCATTTAGTACCTGTAACTAAACTAAACTAATCTGATATCCTTAGCTAACTGGACCATCAGTTGCCTGCGTCCTACGCCGCCATTGCGGCCCAGTTTGTTGAAGGCCACCAGCGGTTCGGGTAGTGGCAGCAGCGGTGGTGGAGGTGGCGGTGGCAGCAGCTCCGGCAACGCCCTGGCCAGCTACTGCAGCGGCCGGAAGAACCAGCCCACCTACGAGGAGGACGCCCTGGTGCTGAGGGTCTTTGAGGCGTACTGTGCCGCCTACCAGAACAGCGCCCGGAACACCATCCACTCGGGTAAGTGGAAACGGCCATCCCAGCTGTGCTACCTCTAGCCGTAAGGACATGTCCATGTTATCCTTCGAGACTCAAGTTCCGATTATCATTTGCTGAAGAAACAAAAACCAAAAAAAAAATAAGCTGAAAATTGTTAGCCAAATTGCTTTATTCACACCCCCACACACACCCACACAGCTGTTCAATCCTCACACCCACACTGACACACATTTAGGCCAAGTTAATTGTCCAAAAGCTGCTACAATCAGACCATTTATCATTTTGTTGGTTTGGTTTCTGTTCGAATTCATGGTTTATTCATTTTTAACAAAAGTTGCAACTAAGAAAGAGAGTTTTCCAAATTAAAACGAGCTAATATTGTACTAGGCTTAGTCCAAGAATTAACTTTAAGCTTACGAATTGTTAACCGATTACCAAAATTATGTTTAAGAGAAAAGATACGTTTTTAAGTTGTACGATTGGCAGTTCTAAAATTCTGTAAGGCAGCCACTGATTTGTAAACCCCATTGATTGTATCACGATATGGATTTAATCTATTTTGTTTCTTAATTTAAATAAATATTTTATTTGTTATCTTTTAGTTTAATTTACCACCCCCTCCTTGCTGTTGACTCCCCATAGACACATCCATTATAGAGGCTTTTCCATCTAATCACTAGTCTTAAGACATCACCATTGTTAAGGGTCTTTGGTTATTTGGCTAACTCATCCTATCATACTAACTGGTTCTCATTGGTGGGAGATAATGTCGTACATGTACTGTTTGGATCTGGATTATGGAGTGTATATTAGTTTGGCTTTCCCCCCTACATTTGGTGTCCTCATCCCTGGCTTGATTACCTCCTGCCACCTTTGGCTTTTCATTTTGTGTTTTTTTTTTTTGGTCCACCTGTTGTTGCCGTTGATGTTGTTGTTGTCGTTGGTATTTCGTTTTCCGTTTCCGTTTCTTCAAAATCTCTTCATTTTTCTCTCTCTCTCTTTTTGCAACCACAACCCGAATCCGATCTGACACGATCTACTATATAGCCTTGCAACCCTGGACTCCGTGTCTGCCCATCCGCGGTGGCAAGCTGAAAACGAGCAAAACCTTCTCAACCTCCAATCCCCAGCTGCCGATTATAGCCGGCAGCGCCTCACCCTACCTCACTCAGCAACAGCAGCAGCACCACCACCATCCTCAGCAGCAACATCTGCAGCAGCCACACCTGCAGCACCACCACCAGTCCCGTCAACACTCTGCCGGCAGCCTGAACTCCTCGTTCATTTGGCGCGAGGCCAGTCCCAACAATTTCAACTTGTACTCCAGCTCGGTTTCGTCCTCGCTGAACGCCACGCCCGCCCAGAGGTACTCCCTCACTGGGGCCACCATCAAGGACTACCAGCGTGCCCTGTCCGAAGAGAGGGCCACCCGGAAGTCCCTGAATCGCCTGAAGAGCGGCTTTGGTTCCGGCTACGACAATGTCTGCACTTCTCCACTGCTGCCCCGGAAAAACAAGCCCACCCCTAAGCTGGTGGCCCAGCAGAGCTACCAGAGATCCTCCGGAAACACCACGACCATCGTCAAGCCGAACCCCGCAGGACATCCAGGACTGTATGACAGGCGACTGAACCGCTCCTTTGAAACCGCCTCCACCTCGCATCGCTATGCCGGCTACGGAGCCGGTTACCTGATGAACTGCGGTGGAGCGCTGAGGACCAGTACGCTCCAGAGGAGCACGCCCCAGCTGGCTGGCGGGGAGCGATCGGATGACAGTGACGTGGAGCGGGAACTGCTACGAGGAAATGGGACCGGAGGAGCCCTACCAGGAAATCTGGAGCTAAATGCCGACGGAAGCAAGCGGCAGTCGGGCAGCTGGTGTTGCGGTAATTTTGTGATGAAACAATGGCGAAAAATCAACCATCTTTGAGTCGGGGGTATCGCGGGTCGCATCAGATCATCAGTCATCCGCATCCGTATCTGCATTTGCATCTGCATACCGCATATCGCATACCGCATCGCCGCCAGCTGCTCCAGCTTCAGATACAAAGATACAAAACGCAGATGCTTTGCTTTGAATGCGCTGCCCTGAGTGTGCAAATATTTTGATCATTTTTATTATTAGTTTTATTCTATTGGCTGCGCAAAGCTTTCAATGCCACAAGCCTTAGATTCTAGACCATCGAACTAAGTGTAATATCTATTAAAAAATGACACATAATTTGTATCCTGTTCGATGGTACAAACTATTTGCCAGTCTTAGCCTTAAGCTGCGCCTTGATGTGACTAGGCATGGAAATGGACCAAGCTGCCCTCTGTTAGAAAAAAGACAAATATTAAATATTGATTTCCGGGCAGCTTGGCCATTTCTATTGCCTCTAGACTTTAGACTAAAACTTAGAACTTGTTTATTGCCTTTCGGAGCGTGCTTATACTGTTTTTTATACAAACTATTCTATAATCTGTAATAATGTAACCTTACGAAAAGACTTGGCGAACAGAGACTAGTTCTTTAGATGCTATTTTTGTTGGTTTTTTGATAGACGATGCTTGCCACTTGAAGTGCAACTGCAGCTGGTCCCTTTATAGGTTTAGTTCTGCAGGGCAGCCAAACGAACTCGAGGGCTTTTAATCTCCGTCCACGGCTTTGAAATTCAATAGATGTCGATAGACTTTAGATGCTCAGTTGCCATTAGCTGGATCCTGTTTCTAGTTTTGTGTCCAAGGACCTTCGCCTGCCTAGCAAGCAATCTGTAATCAAAGTTGTACGCTTTAAATGTTAGTCAGCAACTAAATCAAAGTAACTTACTGTACTGTACTGTTGGATATGAAAACAATATTATTTTGTAAGTGTTTTTGTGAAAACGTCTAACCAAATGAACTACTATATTATAATCTACTATTAACCAGTTTATACGTTTGTACGATAATTGAATTTATGGCAGAAGGAGTTAACTCAATGAATTGCTAAATCGAAGAAAGAACAATGAATAAAATCCTTTACAAGATGAATTCTTCCTTGTTTGTCTGTGTGGTTTGTTGTGTATTTTGTTGTTAAATAACCTAGTAATATAGTTCTATTTCAAAGATTCCCCTAGATAAGTCGATTTTTTCAAGACCTGTAGTATTGCTCTTGAAGATATATGTATGTTTACCAGCAGCTGTATTTTAAGTTCTTTAGCTTAAAGTATTTTTTTTTTCACATAAACATTTAATCACCTAGCTCCATTATTTCATGAATATTTCACACACAACACTAACATATTCTCTGTTCACTTTTCTTTTTAAAAAACACTCCTTAAAAACACTAAAACGAAACTGACAACAGGCCTGGAAAACGAGGACATGACACCCACGCTGCGACAGCTCTGGACCGCCATCCGGCAGATGCAGCAGGACATGTCCCAGATCAAGCTCCAGATCAACGAGGAGCGAGCCCTGAGGGCGGACCTCCAGCAGCTCCTGATGCAGCACCTGGAGACGAGCAGTGTGAGCAGCGGAGCCAACACTCCCAAGTGCTGACTATGCAAATGATCAACGAGAAGGCAGCTAGGATCAAGGAGCCATTAGCCAACGAAACCCGCCGCTGCTTTTAGCTTTAACCTTTATAAGATACTTTACTTTGCATCTCTCCGAGGGGTCAGTGGGTCAATTTCCCAAAAAACTAAAAGCAAAAAGAAATCTATCTACAAATGGACTTTATAAAAATCATATATGGAATGTATTTATCAAACTCGATTTAAAAATAGAACGTGCATGTATATTTGTGAGACGACAATATGCCGACTAGGTGTGTGAGATCTATAAAACTATGTGACTATAACTTATATCTGGCCTGTTACCAATTTTATTCTTTTGCCACAAACTCTTGTTTGACTTTTAAGCCGTAACCAGCCCATCTGATTATTTATAATGATTTAGATTAGCACAAGATGCTTAGACTCTACTTAGCCTTAGTTTTAAACTAGTTTACGATGTTGCCGCCAAACCCTGCAACTCTCAAATGCTGCTTTGTGTAAGTTATGATTATAGTTAGTCCCAGTTTTGATCTTAACTTTTGATGTTTGAGTTTGGTTTAACACTAGTTCAAAATTCATAGCAAAATCTGACGATAATGTGCCAATATTTTTAGTGATTTGCAAGAAGGAAAGAAAACATCGCTCAAAAAAGTTGTATTTACGTATTATATCTAGAACATGTAATGGATAATATATAAAGAAAATTTACTCACTGGCTTTTATTCTTGTTCAATGGTAATTAAGATTGAAATCGGAATGGAACACATCAAGAAAATCAAGAACGCCTAACGATACAACAAGTGTAAACAATGCATAACCGCTATCGTTTGTCTGACAATTTTTGCTGAATAATTCGGAATGCCTGGGGATTTTTCTGCTCTGCTTCCTGCCAACTTTATAAAGAGTTACTTGGATATACATGTATGCATGTATGTATAGAGGAAACCCATGTCGGACTGGCAAACATAATGAGATTGCAATCAGTCAGCGGCAACAGAAACGGCAACTCGGCAAAGGCAACGGCGGCAGATGGCGACAAATGAGCAACAAACCACGTCAAGACCGAGACACAATGTTGGCAAAACAATTTTAGTGTGTCAGTAAGGATTTGAGAACAATGCAGGCTGGTTGTCTGGTCTTGGTCTTGGTCTCGGAATGTGTCACTTCCACTTCCTCCTGCGGCCGGGTTGCCTGCATTGCCGG